TTTGGAGTTCAAAGGTGACCAAGCTTCAGATATGTTGAAAAATTGTCTTTCTCAACCATCCAGTAAGACATTCTCAGCAGCTAAACTCCAATTGGTCTTCACTAGCCGAAAGTTGTTCAGTATGTTTAAAAGATAACCTCCTTCATCTGGCTGCCTCATTGTGCATCTTTTAATTCACCTGTTTTTGCGCAGCAAGGTACATTGGCCGTAGCCGAAAAATACTTGCCACATGGCTATAAGAACACCCTCCAGAATGGTCTTACAGGAGAGAAAGGAAGGGTATAATAAGCTCTATTCTAGGACAGTTGATCGATTTCTGTCAATCTACCAACCCCGACTATGATTCCAAGGTCATCTATCGATTCCATGTTAATTTGAGGCGTTTTCTTCGTTCTAAATTTCAAAAGATGGTAGAGGTCTTGGCCATTCATAAATTGAAGCCAAACCTTTGTGCACAAAAGAAGCATGTACAGCCTCTATCTCTACCTTGGCCATATAGGAATAGACATTTATTTATTTAATTTATGTACCTTCCCTTGATCATTACAATTACTGTTATATTTATTACTCACTTTCTGATATTATTTCACCTGTCCTAGTTATTTTTTTCAAATCATTATATTTTTTGCTATGTTAAAATCTACCTGACCAAAACCCCTCACTATATTACTGATATGTATCCATATATATATATGGTGGTCTCTCTTTCTGTTTGCTCGCTTAGTCTGTGACCATTTCACTTGTATGAACCTGTCTCCTTTAACAATGTATATTCCCCTTATATTATATATAATATGTGTGTTTGTTGACATGTCTGCTATATCTTTTGCTATGTATATATGGATCGATTATTATTATTATTATTGTATCCTTTAGTTCCTAGAGGAACATAGGGCTTCAGCTGCGCACCTCCATTGACTTCGGTTTTCTGACAACTTTTTCACCCTGCTCCAGGTCTGTCCACATGCTTTCATCTCCTCCTCGCATGACCTCCTCCAAGTCACCCTTGGACGACCAACTCGCCGCCTCCCTTTCGGGTTCCACTCGAGGGCTTGTCTAGTGATGTCACTTGATGGTTTCCTCAGCGTATGGCCAATCCATCTCCATTTCTTTCTGCCTATTTGTTTCACAATCGGTTCCTGATTGGTTCGCTCCCAGAGATCCCTGTTGCTGATCTTTTCTGGCCATCTGATCTTGAGTATTGAGCGGAGACAGTTGTTAATGAAGGTTTGAAGTTTGTTTGAGATGCTCTTTATGACTCGCCAAGTCTCTGATCCGTATAGTAGCACTGACTTCACATTGGAGTTGAAAATCCGGATCTTATTTTTGATGCTGAGTGCTGTTGACCTCCACACAGATTTGAGAGTAATGAAAGCTTGTCTTGCTTTTCCGATTCTGGCTTTGATGTCCTCGTCAGTTCCGCCTGTAGTTGAGACGATGCTTCCCAGGTAGGTGAAGGAGGTTGTTTCTTTCAGGTTCTTCCCATTTATGCTTATTGTTGTCTGTTGTTGATGTTGGCTAGGAATCTTCATCATCTCTGTTTTATCTATGTTCACGTGAAGTCCTATCTTTGATGCTTCTTCTGCCAACTTGTTACTTTTCACTTGCATATCTTCCAGTTTATGGGAAATCAGACATATATCATCGGCGAAATCCAGATCCTCCAAGTCTTTTGTGTCAGTCCATTTTATGCCTGTTCCCTCGTTGGTTGCCGTTGTCTGTCGCATTATCCAATCAATTGCAATCAGGAAGATCATTGGTGATAGTAGACAGCCTTGCCTCACTCCCGTCCTCACTTCGAAGGCTTCCGTAAGTTTCCCGTTGTGGATTACTTGGCATGCAGCATTGTCGTATAACTGTTGGATGAGGTGTATAATTGTCGATGGGACCCCGTAGTAGCGAAGTAGTTTCCAAATGACCTCTCGATCGACGCTGTCGAAGGCCTTTTCAAAGTCGATGAAGTTGAGATAGAGAGGTGACTGCCATTCCAAGCTTTGTTCAATGATGATCCGTAGAGTGGCGATTTGATCAATACATGATTTGTTTCTCCTGAATCCAGCCTGTTCCGGACGAAGTTTTTCATCTAGGGCTTGTTTGATTCTCTCCAGGATGATGCGACTTAGTATCTTGCTTGGAATGGACAGAAGCATAATTCCACGCCAGTTTTTACATTGACTTAAGTCTCCTTTCTTTGGAAGTTTGAATAAGTAACTGTTCTTCCAATCCTCGGGTACTTTGCCCTCTTTCCACACCTTCTCCAGCAGTGGTGTCATCAAGTCCGCTGTTGTCTCTGGGTCTATTTTCAAAGCCTCTGCTGGGATTCCATCTGGTCCCGGTGTTTTCCCAGCTTTAAGCATCTTGATTGCATTCAGGACTTCTGATTTCGTCGGGGGGTCAGTGTTCACTGGTAGTTCTGCTTCCGTTGTTGGTATTGCTGGACGTGTTGTAGGTGGCGGACGATTTAGAAGTCTTTTGAAGTGTTCAACCCAGTGCTTTCTCTGTTCCACCTCTTTGGTGATTGACTTTCCATTGTCGTCCTTTATTGGCTTAATCTGTGTCGAACGTTTGCCCGAAAGGTTCCTAGTTGTTTGGTAGAGTGTGGCGAGGTCTCCTTTGCCTGCAGCTTGTTCTGCTTCGTTTGCCATGGTTTCATAATATTTTCTTTTGTCTTCCCTGGCACTTTTCTTCACTCTTTTGTTCAGTGTATTGTAGCTTGCATTCAGCTCCTGTTTTTGTTGCTCGTCAGTGCACTGGATAATCTTTTGCTTCACTGTCCTTCTCTCTTCTATTAGTTTCCAAGTGTCCGTAGTGAGCCACTGTTTGTCCTGTCTCTTTTTTCTGCCTAGAATTTCTATGCAGGTTTGGCTCCACACCGTTTTCAAGTTGTTCCAGTGCTTTTCAACGCCGACCTTTTCGCTAGTGTTGATTTGTGTCTCGGCTTTGTCCTTTATGCTTGCAATGAAGATGTCCTTTGTAGCCTGGTCCTTCAGCTTTTGAGTGTTGAACTTGGCTTGTGGTCTATCTGCAGCTCCTGATTCCCTGAAAGCTTTTAATTTGATTTGGATTGTCCCTTGTACGAGATAGTGGTCTGAGCCAACGTCTGCTCCTCTTCTTGCTTTTGTGTCCAGTAGGCTGCGCCTCCACTTCCTTGAGATTGAGATGAAGTCGATTTGGTTTTTGGTTTGCCCGTCTGGTGACACCCATGTAGCCTTGTGGATATCTTTGTGCTTGTATACACTGCCACCAATCACCAGTTCGTTGAAGGCGCAGAAGTCGGCGAAGAGTTCTCCGTTTTCATTCATTTCTCCTAGAGCTTCTCTACCCATGATGAGTTCCCTTCCCGTATTGTCTGGTCCCAGTTTGGCGTTCATGTCTCCCATTAGTATTTTCATGTCGCCAGCTGGAGTATTGTCCATTGTTGCCTGTAGTTGCCTGTAGAATTCTTCTTTCTTCTCGAGGTCTGCGTTGTTTGTGGGTGCATAACATTGTATGATTGACACTTTCCTTCCTTTGGAGTTGAACCTGGCGGTCATTATCCTGGACGAAATCGCCTCCCATTGTATCAGGGCTTTCGTTGCCGTTGGTGACATCATGATAGCCACGCCCTCGGTGTGCGTGTGGTTATCTTCTGGGTGACCGGAGTAGATCACTGACTCACCGTTGGATGGATACTCCATTGTAATTAGCCAATCATGTTAAGACTGTCTATTGATTGTTCACACTTGTTCGGACATTTATATATATTTTTGCTCGCACACTCTTGTGTGATTTGATTCTCCTGGTGTTTGGAATATAGAAGTATCATCGCAAACCTAGTGGCCTTCTGATTTCCGTCTTTCTTGCGTCAGGACTATTAAATTCTCGACCAGTACATAACAATAATTTGGCGACGAGGAAAACTACTATTAACCACTCAGCAGCAGCAACATAATAATTACGTAATGTCTTATTTACCCACTAACCCTACTAATTTTATGGATCCCTTTCTAGGATCCATAGACTTTACGGACTATTTTATAAATTATATTATCTATTTTATCGCTTGACAATAAACTGTGAATATAATCACAAACATTTGATCAAATTTCACATTATTATTTTGAGTATTTACACAATTTTTTTGTTTAAATTTCCTCAAGGGATATAAATTCTTAAAAATCATAAATTTACTATTGTACAGCTGGATAATAAATTCGTTGAAAAAAGTCTCTCTTCGCTGAATAGTGTCTTCTCAATGTTACAAAAGGAATTATTAAAGGAAAACTGTACAGCCTTCTTCGAAGGGTAATGTCAGTGCTGACATAGGGTCAGACTGGAAAAGAGCTAGCGGCGGTCAAAACAAAACATGGGATCAGTCAGTGGGATTCATAACAGTTAGTTTAAGCCATGTAGGAAGGTGAAGACTTCCTAGTTGGGGTCCTCGGGACGGTAAAAACCAATGGTGATATGGCTCGAAATCGTTTTCAATGTGACTCATAATATCCAATGGAACTCTATATTGATCTTCGTCATTACTACTTCCTTTTGTCTCATATCTCTGTCTACTATCTCTATTTTGCATTTCGCCTACTTTCTTCTCTTGTTTTGTGTGCTACATGGACTGTGGCGACTTGAACTGCTGCACATCGATGAAAAGTCCTAAGTTGAAAACAGGCAGACAGTTATTTTCGCTACATTTTGTTAATATTCGATGGTGTGAGTAGTATCCGAGGTGTTCATGTACATACGTCGTTAGAACCATCGGTTGTCTATTAAGAGACACGCTATAACTCAGTCAGTCAGTCGTTCATAGTCTAATCTGTAGTGTTTTCACTTAGATACCTTTTACAACTTATTCATCACCGAATTCCTAATGGAATTCTCTCCATTTTATTAAGAAATTGTCCAAACTAAGTTATTTCATAATCTAATGAAATATTGCAATATAGGTGAAAGAGAGGAAACAAAAGCAAAAAATAACAAGCAAATAGATAAAATACCGTACAGAAATTAAATCTTACATCAAGTTGAGTGAATTCATTCGGTCCGTCTGTAATCGGATTCCTTACTATAACACCACTGTCCAATTCTAAATTCATCAATCCATCACATGAAGATAAACGTCCAGTTATACGTGTTTCATCTAAAAGCGTTACAGTGACTGGTTTGCCTATTACTGCAGCAGGAAATATAGATATCAGCGAGGAATGCAGACGATCACGACTACGCCAGGCTTTACAAGCATCAGAATCGCTTACTAACGCCTAAACAAATATATTGGAGAAAGTGAAAGAACAAAACAAAAAGGAAATACACCTTGAGACTTGTATGTTTTTAACATAAGTCAATGAATAATTATGTCACACAAACACAGAAATCTAAAGGCGTAAACCAACATGTTGTGAGAAGAGGAAGGCAGTGAAGACAGGACTGGAAGTGAAAGTAGAGAAGACAGACGTGATGAAGACACCTAAGGAAACGACAAGCATCCATCACCGTCAACGGGAGAAACTTAAAGGGAAGTCACCTCTTTCACTTATGCAGACAGTATCGTTTCAACTAAAGACTGCATAGACGAGGATTTCGAAATCAGGCTCGGAAAATCACGATAGGGATTCATTACTCCAAAATCAGTCTGGAAATTGGCTGTAATCAGCATAAAGGACTAAATCAAGACTTTTAAAACTAATGTCAAATCAGTGGCATCGGTGGCATAGCGGTTAGGACGCTCACCGACCATGCACATGGTCCGGGGTCCGATTCCCTGCCGACGCACTCCTCTACCTCGCTAAGCCAGAAATAATGCTGGTAAAGAGGAAAATTTTGGCATAAGGCTAGTAACCACATCCTGTATAAATAAACACTGCTACAGAAACTTCAAGCCACTACCTTGAAGCCCTGTGTTCCACTGGGGAGCGTGAAGGAAAAAAATGTCAAATCAGTGCTTCTATATGACCTAGAGACTTGGAGCATACGTCACGAAAAGTATTTCTAACAGGCTATTGAAGACTTTCCTCAAGAGCTGCCTTCTCTCCATACTGAAGATTAGATGGCAAACCAGAAAGGATACGTTACAAGAAATTATGGCAACAAAGAGACCAAGAAGCTATCGTCTAACACATATTTGAAGTAGACCGTGAGTGATGTCACGAACGGGAACAAGTTGGACGTCCAAGGGTGGCATAAAAGCTTACGGGTAGTCTTAGAACAAGCTTAAAAGAACTTCTGAGAACAGTTTGCAATGGAGATGTGCTGTTGAAGGCTTTTGCTTCATTTGAAACCCAAGAGAATAATATTAGTATAATAATGTAGCCCAGTAGTCATCTATCTTTTGTGTAGATGCATTGTAACGCGATTCATTAAAATGATACAAATTCATTTACTTGAACAAGAGCCTAAAATCGTATGGATAGCTTATAAAAGCACTCAGTTATCCGAGATTAAATTATGGCTAGTCACACAGACAGAGAGAGACGTGAGCCACAGTAGGTCATTTTTATTGTTCTCTCTATGTAACAAAAAGATTCATAGGATTAAAATAGACAAGAGAGATTTGATGAACACATTGGACTGAAAGTTTAAATATTTAGTGTTTGAGTTAATCACTAATGACAAATTAAATTTAGGAATTAAAAGTCAGACGTATAAATGTCCCTAAGTTAAATATTCATCAAAATTACACCTGGAAATTCACTGCAAAACGACATTCCATCCTTCGCACCTTAGTAGCTTTCTTTATATGACCGTGATACATATAAATGTGGTGTATTTAAAGACATAATTCATGTAAATCTATAAGCTGACTCTTTTCCTTAGCATAAGCTATAGCGATTCAGGCTGACTTCGCAAAATTATCACTATACTTCACTGAAAAGTTTCTTCGTTTTCGTCACCATTTTCCTTACACTATAAGCTGAATAATTCTAATTTATTTTATTCTCTTGAGTTCCAAGTGGAATATGGGGCTACAACAGCACATCTATGTTTCAATGTCCTCTACAGTCCCTTGCAGCTGGCACCACGATCGCCCATAAGCTTTCACTTCCCCTTCACACGATCTCCTCCATTTCAACCTCAGACCCATAACCGAGTTATCATTTTCTAACAGGCTTCCACTTGAAGGGTTGCCTGGAGCATGAAGTCACTCAATGGTCTCCTCAGCGTATGTCCAATCCATCATTATCTTCTTCTGAGTATTTGTTGGGCGATAGGTTCTTGGTTAGTTCGTTGTCAGAGTACCTTGTCAGTTATCGTTTCTAGTCGTTTAATCTTCAGTACCAGGCGAAGGCGCCGGTGGCACAGAGGTAGCGTGCTCGCCAACCTCGCAAAACCAATGGTAAGACTGGTAAAGAGTGAAGGTTGGGCATGAGGCTAGCACCACTGCTGCCGAAACTTCAAGCCTCCAGCTTGAAGCCCTATGTTCCACTGGGAACGTAGAGGAATACAAAAAAAATCGAGCGAAGGCAGCTCCAACAGATATACAGCTAATTCCATTATTTTCTTATATTTAAAAGTATTTTTACTAATACAAACTGTTCATGGTAAACATGACTACACTTATAATAGATCTTCTACTAAAAATTTTACACTGGATAGTAATTATGAATAAAAAATTAACATCTCCTATCGACAGACCTCAAGGAAGGATATCATAGTTAATACGATGTTTCATTGAAACACGTAGTATAATCCAGAGCATAACCAGTTATTACATCTTTGACAGAAACAAGATATTCAGTTACCTATTAAAGGACTGCTAACAGCACCGCAGTGTGCCCCGTTATACTTTAGAGCTGCAAGTAGGCGTTATCGCCCGCTTGATTGCGCGACACAGATCAACATGCTAGGGAATAATAAAATTAGAAATGGACTGTTGAACAAGTACGATACGTTGATCAACGGTATCACTGAGCAGTGTTATTAAAGTAGTTGGATAGATGTATTCAGTATGCCAAGCCATTACCTTTTCTATAAGCAATATATGTCCACGTAGAATTTAGTAAGACGACAATTAGAGTGGTCAGATCAAAAAATGATTTCAAGCAGTAAAATTACTGACTATTGGTGAAGCTGTAACGGTAGAAGACAAGTAATTTGATGAACGAATGTTTATTTGAAATTTGGTATCTCTATTTGCATAGATCCTCCATGCTGTGCTACTTCTGGCCTTTATATTTTGTGTCTTATAAATGACTTATCATTATCATTACTTTATGATTAATACAATGCAATACAGAAATACTGATATTAATAAAATCGATACATGAACCAGATGATCAGTGTCAAACACATTTAATTTACCACGTGTACATTTCAACAAACAAAAGTATAGAATACATAATCAAAGATATTGAAAGTTTTTTTCAATTATTGATAAATTAGAATATGAACTGCTCTAATTATGCATTTCACAAGAGAGTTAGTTATGTAATAAACTGTAGATATGGTAATTAGACTAGCTGTATGCAATGAAAAATGAGCGATTATTATTCACAAGGTCTTAGGAGTGACACAGAATAAGAACTAGTTGCTAAATTAACTCTTTAAAAAAGGTGACAATCTATATAGAAATGTATTTTCATCAAGTGTCAACTGCAGGTGCAGCATTTTAGATTCTAAAAAAATTAATAAAGAGATATTACTTATATGCAGGTCGAGTGTGAAGACAAATAATCGCCGAAGACATTGGCTGGGGTCGCGCTATGTCGTGAATTGGCAGAAGTTAGAGATCGTGGGCCATTGGATCGGGTCCCAGTGACTTAATGGTATACGAGCTCGCCAGCCTTGTAACCAGAAGGTTCTTGGGGTTCGAATCCCCATGGGTGCGTACTGCTGAAGAGTCCCAAACTAGGACAAAACAGCTGTCCAGTACTCCCAGGTTTTCCAATGGTTCTCTAACTAATGTTAGATCATCATGAAAATCCTGTAGTCAATCAAATCCGTACAAACCAACACTTGAGTATTAGGTGTATCTGTTGTCTATCTCATAAACTATTCTATGTTTTTAGAATTTAATTGGTAGATGGTGACTAGCAGTGGAGTCCAGGATGCGCATTTCGTCCTATTTGGAACTCGTCAGCTATGTTTTGACCAAATGTCATATGAATGAGAGCTATACAGATTCAATTACCACCATTATTCTTGTTTAAAACTACATAACTGAGAGTCAGTTTGCATAAAAAGTGCACCACTAGTTCAAGTTGCCATACTCTATACAGCACATAAAGGGAAAGGAAAGATAGAAAAAAACACTCAAAAGAACTATAGTGAGCAGAAATGTACGGCGGGGGGAATAGTAACATAGGAAAAACCATTTAAACCAACCAACTACGTCTCTCAGATTGTCCAATCAGTAACAGAAGATAAGAACAAGGACAAAAGTATTTGAAAAGAATAAAATAAATAAATAAAACATACTGTTAGCCACAATTCATACCGGTACACTGAAGCTGGATATAACGATGGCAAAGAATGGTGGTAAGTGACCGCATATTTCAGCAGTACGCGCCCACCGAGATGTGAAACCTCGACCCTCCGGGTAACGAGGTAAGCTCGAATACCATTTAACCACATGGACACGACCCGATGGGTCGTGAATTCCAACTCCTGTGAATTTATGATATATATATATATATATATATATAGATATATAGCGCAACCGCCAGCCAATTTCACAGGTGAGTAACTGTTTTCTTGCCCGACTTGGTGGACCCGGCTGGTTACGACTTCTCACTAGAACCCCAGGTATGGGACTACCGTCAACCAAAATACGAGCACACACATGTATATATATACAACACACTTGTGATAAATGTAGAAAAGACAAACACATAAACTCTGTATTCATATCAATATTTTATTGACAAAATGGTAATTACAAGAGGGGTAATTGCTTAACCATAAAAGCTAAAACTTCAATAATGATAATTATAATATCACAAGCGATAATGGGTAGTTGAATAAGAGTATACACCAGATACAACAAGCCGTCATCAAGTCGCCTATAGAAGGAGTGAAAACAGAAAAGAAATGCGCAGAGTTAACAGCTGATTTGTCTTTTGCCCACACTCTTTTTTTAAAAGGTCAGGTGAAAAATGTGTGGGTGTTTGTGCGAGATTTTATCAGCTGAAAAGAGAGAAAGGCGCTAAACCATAAAATAACAAATGAAAGATTACAGGGAAGCTGTGATTGTTAAAAGGCAAATTTAAAAAGAATATCACATATTATTGTGATAACACAAAATAAAATAAACAGTTTACAAAAATAATCATGAAAAATACATTGGAAATAATTATAAAGATAAATAAATAATCCTAGACAACTTCATTTCGATTGTTACTTGAATCTAATAAACTTGTATTTTCTTGATTGATGCCATCATGATCACCACGAGGATGTGCTGACCGATAAAGAAGGAACTGAATCAGCACCTAAAGAATAAGAAAATAATAAATGAAAGTGATTTGTAAGAACAAAGGAAAAATTTCTGAAATTGTTTCATTCATTTTTCGTTCCCCGTGGAACATATAACTTCAAGCTAGAGCTTAGAATTTTCAGCAGCAGCGGTGTTTTTTTTTATGAGATGGGGTTTCCAGCATTATGCTTAACCTCTCCTCTTTACCGGGTTTATTACCAGCTTAGCGAGGTAAAGGAGGAGTGCGTCGGCCGGGGATCAAACCCCAAATCAATTGCGTGGTTGGCCAGTGTTCTGTCATTAAGCCACCGACGTATTACACATAATGCTACACCCACTGACTGCGTGTTGGTTTTCAGGAAGACCAAACACACTTATCCCTGCCTCTTGTGAGACGAGACGAGAAAGCAGTATCATCCTGTGGCGTAACCACAGGGCTGTCTGAGTAGGAATAATGGACTAAAACAGAACTTGACCCGGTTACAACAACCCCTCCCCCTATGAAATGACAAAATCAACACGAATATGATGAGCAATTTCATTATGTATACACAGGTTGCTGTATACACTGTATACACTTAACAAATCCAACAATCTACATCTGGTTTTGTTATCTTTATCAATTGGTCAACTTGACAAGGCAAAAATGACATGCTAAGGAACGATATTGCTATATGTAAAGTGAGATTTTGCAAATTCTAGTTTAATAATCCTTTGATAAAGCTATTAGAATGGAACAGCGAAACGTCAGTAAAAACAATATCGTTTTGTTTTTTATTCATTCATTGGGAAATACAAAAACTTTTATAATAATGAATATCATATACCCAATGCCAAATTTTTTCAAAATGTCTGTCTGTCTGTCTGTTTTCGACATAGAACTTTGCACAAATGTGCGGAAGTTCAAGTCGCCACATTCCGTGTAGCACGCGAAGCAAGAGAGGAAAGTACAAGAAAAGCATAATAGAAACAGTGAGCAGAGGTGTGAGACAAAGGAGTAATAAAGAAATACAAAACAGTTTCATTGAAGATCATAAGTCACAGGGAGTGGATGCATCTGCGCCACTGAGAACGATTTTGAGCCATGTCACCAATTTTTTCCAACCATAGATTTTTACCGTCCCGAGGACCCCAGCCTGGAAGTCTACACCTTCCTACGTGGCTAAGACCAACTGTTGTGGATTTCATTGACTGATGCCAAGTTTTTGTTTGACCGCCACTAGCTTTTTTCCAGCCTGATCCTATATCCGCTAACATAGCTCGTCGAGGGAGGCGATGACTTGGCATACGTAACACATGTCCTAACCATCTCAGTCGATGTAGCTTCACGACTTCGTCGATTGATTTCCCCTGTTTACCTAGAACTCTACGCCTAACCTCCATGTTGCTCACCTTATTATGCCACTTTACACGGGAAATAGAACGCAGGCACCTATGATCAAAGACAGCTAGTCTTTTCATGTCTTCCACTCTCAGTGGCCAGGTCTCACAGCTGGCCATAAAGGAGGACGGAGCGGACTGATGAGCAGTACACCCGCCCTTTGGTCGATAGTCGAACATCTCGTCTACGCCAGAGTCGGCGTAAACTAACAAATGCGGAACGAGCCCCTTGTATTCGTGCTGAGATTTCGTCAGAGATCAGCCCGTTGGCACTGGCTGATGGTACTTCCCAAATAAGTGAAGCGGTCAACGTGCTCTACCACTTCACTTCCTATTTTTAAACTAGGCGTCGATGTAGTCCAGTCCTGTAACATCATCTTGCATTTGGCGGGAGCGAATCGCATGCCAAACATTCGTAGGTTGCTGTTCAAGGTGTTTAGAAGACTCTGCATTTTGTCAGCGTCTTCGCCTAGAAGGACTATATCGTCTGCATATTCCAAGTCAACGAGATTATTCCCCGGTAGCAAGTCAATTCATGAGTCACTGAAGTCACCTAGGGTTAAGTCCATTAACACATCTATGATGAAGTTGAATAGAAAAGGAGATAATGGGCATCCTTGACGGACACCACTGGTCGTCATCAGTTCAGATGACAGCTCGCCGTAAGCCCTCACCTGGCTGTATGAGTACGAATAGAGTGCCTTAATCAGTGCAATATATTTTCTCGGAATTCCCTTTACAGCCAAGCATCTCCAGAGAACTTCCCGATCGACAGAGTCGAATGCTGCCTTTAGGTCAAGAAATATAATGACTGTTGGACGCCGGTAGGAATTCCTATGTTCTAGAATCTGTCGGAGGGTGAAGATAAGATCAATACACCCTCTTCCTGGTCTAAAGCCTGCCTGGCTCTCTCGTGTTTGTGCTTCCCGAGCACCACTCAGTCTACGCATGATTATTGAGCCTAAGACTTTAGATACTATATTAGTCAAGCTAATCCCTCTGTGATTATCACAGGAAGACTTGTCTCCCTTCTTGTATATCGGGATAATCAGTGACTTACACCAACCCGATGGGACTTCTTCTGATTCCCAAACGCTGCCTAGTACCTCAGTTAATCCGGACAGTAAGCTGTCTCCACCGTACTTAAATACCTCTGGCGTCATTCCATCAGGTCCCGCTGCTTTGCCTAGTTTCAGATTGGTGACAGCTTTAGTAACCTCAGTTGCGTCGGTGGCACAGTGGTTAGGACTCTCGCCGACCATGCACATGGTTCGGGGTTCGAGCCCACGCCGGCGCACACCTGATATCTATGGTCGGCCTGCAAAATTTGGGCTACCGATATCCATGCTGAAAATTCCATACTTGTACCAAAAATGCAGTGTGGAATCAAGCTGTAAATCAAAAATAAAAAAAAAAAATAGTGACGGAGGACCTGTATCTATATCCCATTCAGGGAGGTGTTGGATGCTCGGAAGGTTGAGCGTGGCTGTGGGCCAATTAAACTGCTCCTCATAATGCTCTTTCCAACGATCCAGTCGTCTATCCTGTGAGCTAATTATAGTGCCATTTTTTTCCGAGATTGTCTCACTAATGATTTGTCTTCTCCCACCCGTTTCCCTGATGAGTCCAAAGAGTTGCCTGGTGTTGCCTATCCTCAAAGCTTTCTCCATCTCTTTGGCTTTTGTCGCCCACCACTGTTCACGGTCCTTGCGGAGACTTTTCGTAAGTTTCCTCTTGTGCAGCTTTCGCTCCTCATTGAATTCGGAGCTCGCCGGAATAAGTCTTCTAGCATCTATCAGTTCGGATGAGGCGGTGGAGATCCAGTGGTTTTTACTCACCTTTGGGTTTACCTTATTCACAGCTTTTACAGCTGTATCTATGGCTGCCTGGATATTTTTCCAAGCTTCTTCAGGGTGAGCACAGCTGTCGAACACAGATATGTGTTTAGCTAGTTCTTCCTGAAATACGGATTTAGTTTCCTGATCGAGCTGGGGACGTGATGGTTTTACCGCCAGCTGTTTCCTACGTCCGTTCAGTCGTAAGCACACTCGAGCGCGGACCAGTGCATGGTCGGTATCTACGCACGTGTTCCAGAAGGAGCGACAATCTCCTACCGACCCACGCCAACGATAGCTTATTGCTATGTGGTCTATTTGTGTCCAGCGTTGGTTTGACGAAGGGGGTCTCCAAGTCAAACAGTGTCTCTCCTTGTGTTTGAAGTTAGTGCTTGCAAGAAACAAATGATTATCAGAACAGAACTGTAGGAGACGGTCACCGTTGTCGGTTCGCTGGCACGGAACTCCATAGGTGCCACCGACATCCTTCTCAGATTGACACAATTTCCCTACTTGAGCGTTAAAGTCACCAGCTAGAACGACTATGTCTGAGCGTTTAGCCTTTCTCACCAAACTAGACAACTTTTCGTAGAACTCATCCTTCGTTTCATCTGAACTGCAGTCAGTGGGGGCGTAGGCGGAGATTACGAAAAGGCATCGGCGAGTAGTGCAGTCCTTCCTCCTTCTTACTGATCCGTTCAGGCGGACAGCACACATTCGGCTATCTACCGGGATCCAGTCAAGCAATGTCTTTTCTGCCCTAGTACTCAAAGCTATCCCTACGCCAGCTAATCCTCGTGAACTAGCTGTGGCATCTCCTGACACCCTCAGGGTGAATTTTGCAGATTCAACCTGTTGGCCAGGTGGGGTTAGGTGAATAACCACACTTGGGTCTTGTATGCGTGTTTCTGAAACACAGCATACATCAATGGCTCGTGATGCCAGGGTCTTGGCTAGTGATGCTTGTTGTCCTATTTGGCAAAGTGTCCTAACATTAAGAGCTCCTATATGAAATTGGTGGCGCGGCTTTAAGAGGCTGTCGGTGGTGGTTTTTTGGCTTCCATCGTTTTTAGTGGACGCAGAGTGGAGAGGAAGTGGAGAGCTATCAAGTCGAGGAGTTGCATCAGTGGAAGGAAGGCAAGATGATAGAGATGAAGATGAAGACAAAGATGAGTGAGTAATAGAGAGGTTTCGTGTGCATTTCGGATTGTGAGGGCGATTGTTACTTCCCGGCTGCCCACACCGTGGAAGTTGGTTGCGTGACCGCAGAGCCCAGGGGACAACTGCTTGAGGCCGGTCACACGCGGCCTGCTTTTGTTTGTTCTTTTTGTTTTTTGTGCCTCAGTAGCATATTTATCACTCCCGCCCTGTGACACGGCAGCAGGAAGCGCGGTCGTTGTTAATCCGGGCCACGGCCGATCCGGCATGAAATTTTGTAATTTTGTATTGGACATGATGTTGGATTGGGTAGCTGCTTTTTGTTTAACCGCTATCCAAACAACCTGCCTGGCATGGTAGAACCTCAAGAGACATAAGTCTCAGCCAGTATAGCTTGATTAGGTCATTGCGGTGTTCAAGCCCGACCACCACGTCAAGGTAGCAGCTTTCGGTCGGGAATTTTTTCAAACGGTTAAAAGTGAACTTGGTTTGGACATATATAACACTATTGTCAATGAATTATTCAATATATCACCTTGCATAAAACTCTATGTAGTAGATAATGTATTACCTAAATGAAAAAATAATAATTAAGCACTACCTAATTATAATATTAGTACTTTAAGCCCTATACACAATTATA